TGATCTAGAGATAACAGTCTCTATATTAATTAATATAGTTACATTTCTTTTGACAAATGACTATTTTTCTTAAACCCTGAACAGCTCAAACTACTAATTGTTGAGGCTGTTTTGAAATTTGGCTTCGTGACCCAATAATGCAGCACCCCAATTTTACTTTGCTATGATTTGTGATTTTAATGTCAGAATGGGACCAAATGATAGGGCTTTATTACAACAATTTGTCCCCCATATTCTTCATATTATGGGGAGATCTCACAGAAGTAAAAAAAATAATACTGGCATTATCACTGTAGGTTGGAAGCTATATTTATTGACATTAACATTTCTGTGGAAAAACCTCTCTCCACAGAACCAGTCTCTGGTGCCCAAATGGTTGGGGGCCACTGAATTAGGATATCTAAACCATGGTTCAATAAAGAATGTGCTTGGTTAAAACCCAGGTAATGCAAACCTAAAAGAGGGCACTTTCCACCAATGAGTTCTACTCCTATGAGCGAGAGGTTTAGCTAATACTTCACTTAACACAAAACAAGGTAACAATATTAATTCAATCTTCTTTGACATTTAGTACAGGTATTTTCAAAGTGTGTTTTCACCTACTCAGAATTTGTCTCTCATTTACATTCTAGTATTACATTCTAGTATTAGAGGGCATTAATTCCAGAGTAGCCTCCAGTAACTCATATGGGCATTCAAAAATTTATTACACCACAAAAATAATATTTTTTTCTGAGGGTATTTTTAGTTATTTTATTGTTACATTGTCTTGTTTTTACACTTATTTTGTTTCTACCATGAAAGTTCAGATATTTATAACCCTTTTTTCTGCGAAGATTAATTTGCTTGCAGCAAGGTATAAATGTAACAAGCTGTATGTCTTGAACAATTAAAAAACCATTATTCAAAATTTACCCAAACTTTCAGCATCCAGTCTTAATCATAAAATAAGGCAGATTATTTCAAGTTTTAGAAAGATAGGAGAAATTGATAGTAAATGCAAAAAGATATCACCCGATGGCTCATAGAAAGTTGCAAACAAACACAACAGTTCTATACTGCTACCATGTTAAGAGGAGTTCCATACTGCTACCAGGTCTTACTTATTCTAAATTTTATTTAAGATTATAGCCTTAATAAGCTAACATTCTACTTCCTAAGCATAAGAAATGTTACTCTGTTTTATGAGCCATCTGGTACAGCCAGAAAAGTAGGGTATGAAATAAATATTAAAAAAGGTTTGTAAAATGTCATGAAATACTAGATGTTGACAAATTATAAAAAAATTATACATAGCTTTTAACCTGTTTAAAGTGATACTTTTTCTGTAGTTATATAGGTTTTTCTTCTCTCTCTATTTAATAAGGTCATTCCTGATTATTACTTTTTTTTTTATAAAAGAACAACAATTCACTGTTTCAACATTTCCAGCGATGGATGAAAACAGTGATTATCACACATTTCTGCAGTACGAAAACACGTATATTAACTCATATTTTTGTCATTATGCTAGACTCTAGAGAGTTTAACTGAATTGTGAATAAAGCTGTGCTCATTTTTGAAGTGTGTTAAGAAGCAAGGTAATGTAAGAACTAATTAGGTCTTTGTGGATTGTTTGATGAAATAAAACATTGTCACAAGCCCATGCCTCTCTTTCTTTCTTTTTGTGGGGTCCTTGGTGTTCTCTGAGCTTGGTTGTTTCATCAATGCTCTGATGATGTTACCTAGTTTAATAATAAAATGTCTGCAATAAATAAAACAACCAAGCTCAGAGACCACCAAGGACCCTATAGTTCCGTGATGGCGAACCTATGGCACACGTGCCACAGGTGGCATGCGGAGCCATATCGGTGGGCACGGGAGCTCAGCTCTGGCACACATGCGCAAACCATCCAGCTGATTTTCAGGCCTTCTGGGCCCACTGGAACTCAGCAAACAGGCCATTTCCAGCCTCCGGAGGGCCTCCAGGAAAGTGGGGAAGGCCGTTTTCGCCCTCCCCAGGCTCCTAGAAAGGCTCTGGAGCCTGGGGAGGGTAAAAAACGGGCCTACCGGGCCTGCTGTGCCATCACATGCCAAAAGCGAGGGAAGCACGGGGAGGTGTCACGCACACATGCGTGGGGCGGGGCGCATAGAATTATGGGTGTGGGCACACACACACGCAACCTCCCTGTGCTCCCCCCGCTTTTGGCACGTGATGGCAAAAAGGTTACCCATCACTGCTATAGTTCAATCCTCAGCTGCAAATATTCTCCTCTAATTTTTCTCTTACTGGATTTCTCCAACCTGCGATTGGAGGGGAATTCTAGACAATTCACCACCCAACTATAGCTGACACTGAGATGTAAATATTCCTCAAGATATGAGTTGTGGGGGGGATGGGACAAATTCTATCCATTTCATATTTTCATCAAGATGTAGTTTATCATTCTGATGAAACTGATAGTTGCTGCAAACTCCCATGTTCTAACTTGTAGGTAACACTCTATTTCACTTCAGCAATTTATACCTGCATGAGTCACTAATTCACATCATAGAAGAGATACATGCTATATGAAGAGCGCACATTGTTCACCTAGGTGTCTTTTCCAATCCCTGAGCAGGGTTTGAGTATTGCTTTCTGTATTTCCCCTGTTCCCACCACAGGCTTACTCCATTTAACTACAGATTTAGTAAATATATATTGCATATTCTTGCAATAGATAATCCTATTGATGGTCAAAACCCACCATTTTGGCAATACAGACTGACACCTCCCTCAATTTTCTCTGCAAAATGCTTAGAACTTCATGAGCTCCTGCAGCCATATTGACAAAGTTTCCTGATATCGGTTGCCTGTTCCAGACAAGCAGGACAAAATGAGATTTAGCTACAACAGCCAATTATGTTGGAAACTGTATCCAGTGCTATCAAATCTTGGAAATAAGTTCTATAATTGAATTGGTTTTTCTTTTCAGCTGGTGTTTCTTTCTAGCTCCTTTGTCTGAAAACTTATTATGAAAACTCAGACTAGGTGATCCCATATCACAGCATGCTATGTGGAATCAGTTCAATCGAATTGCTTTGGCATTACATTTAACCTCCCGGAGATTGCTTGATTGGGTTAATTGAACTTTATTTGGTGTTCCCACAACACATAAACCTATTGACCCACTTAGAAATATAGTGAAAAGAAAACAATTCAAAATGCTGGTTCTGACCTTCAGATTTTGGAACCTGGATGGCCAAAGAGTTTGAGAGATGGATAGCAAAAGAAGCACAGAATCTCCCTCAACTAAGGCTAGTCTTGTTATTTTATTTATTTATAATTAAAATTGAAATCCTTTTGAAAAAGCTATGACAATAAAAATAGCATTTGACTTTTTCTAATGGGATGGACACAAAGACATTATTGTGCTCTGTAGATAGTCAGTTCCTGCCTAGCTTTTTAGTTTTCTTGAGTTAACACAACATGTTGCTCCATAAAGAAGCCAAAATTCCTTTATATTAGCATATTGTGCCAAATCTATCAATGCCTTAGTTTCTCAATGTTATACCAACCTAATAGTTGCTTTATTTAGTAAACCGTGGTAGAATTAATCATGGATAAACTTGTATGCAGACATTATCAATACAGTCCATTTAAAAGTATCTCATAATATGTAAAAAAGACTTTAAATGGTGATTTTCTTCCATCATTTCACATTAGAGCCTATGAGTTACCAATACCAAAATACCTAAAAATCAAAATGTGAGCATCCAGAGGATGACAGGAAAGGCAGCAGGGTAAATACTGGGTAATACTGATGCCACCAATCATCTTATATATCTATAGCCCAAACATCTTATATATTTATAGCCTAAACAGGTATTATCATTCGGGTTTCATTAGTTTGCTGCAGGGCCAAAACTCAATTATTAAATATTTTAATTATGTTAATTATTTTAATATGTTGGAATATGTTCCAAGGGCTAAGAGAGTGGTCCAAGATCATTCAGCTGGGTTTGCACCTAAGGCAGGACCAGAACTCACAGACTCCCAGTTTCAAGCCTGGTGCTTTAACCACTACACCAAAGGGACTCTCTAATTAATATATCTGATTTGACTTTGTGTATTTATGTGGCTGCCTAACTCCTTAAGATTATATTGTTGTAAATGCTCCAACACTGGAAGTTTTTAAGAAGAGATTAGATAACCATTTGTCTGAAGTGGTGATGGGTTTCCTGCCTAAAAAGGGGGTTGGACTAGAAGACCTCTAAGGTCCCTTCCAACTCTGTTACTCTATACTAAGCATCCTGTTGTAAATCAAGGACTACCTGTAATCTGTGGGGTATGCAATTCGTCAAGACTTCTTCTAAGGAGTCCATGGAAGAGAATAGTATAACTCAGGGCTCAGCCGCAGAGTCCTTGGTGCTCTCTTGCACCTGGCTGTTTATTTACAGATGTTTCATTTACCCAGCTAGTATTAATGGCGTTTATACAGTTGGGTGATGAAACATGTGCCAGCAACAGCCAAGCTCTAGAGAGCACCAAGGACTCCACATTTCTGGAGTGCTTCTCTCAAGTGGGCAGATGAATGTTACACGTGGACAGGACCAGTAGATGAAGTCAGAACTGATAGAATAAATACAAAACCTTTAGGAAGAAGCCAACCAAATCACCTGTCCAGGTTAACATAGAGCACAGGTCTTAAAACCTGACAGCTTTAAGACTTGTAGATTTCAACTCCCACAATTCTCCAGCCAGCATAGCTGAAGAAGTCCACAAAGCTGCCAAGTTTGAAGACCTCTGACATAGAGCTAACATGTTTATTTCCCTGCCTCATCCGCTGCCGCAGCCGTTTCCCGCCCCCTGTAACGCGCCGTTTCCCCTCAAGAGGGCGCTCGCGCAATTGTCCCGCGTTAATCCGGGAGAACCGCCATGGACTCGCCGGAAGAAGCCCCGCCCTTCTCTTCCCCAGCTCCACCCACCCTTTCACCCCACCCACCCCAAGCAGTGGGAGGAGCGACGACGATGCCCCCTC